GAGCCGCACACCTGCGGGGCGCGGTCGCGCCGGCTCCGCGCGGGAGCCGACAGGGCGGTTGCAGCACCTGGGCCACGTCTTCCCGAAGGGCATTAGCAGGGAGGAGGAGGGGATCGGTATCAGGAAGAACGGGGGGGAGGAGCAGACACCCCTTCACCGACAATACTGTAAATCCAAATCGACGGAAAACGAAAGACCGACGGACACCCTGCCTCCACAAAAACAAAACAGGCGCCTGCTGCGCCGCAGGCGTCGCAGACGAGAGGGGGTGCTGATTCCTAGTTAGGGCTGACTGTACGTAGCGAAGCGTGGTTTGACCACGCCTCTGATTAGGCACACACACACACACACGTTCAGTGAAGCCTGGTGCCTGCTGATTGATCCAAGCCTGCTTATAGTTAGGCCCTGTTTTCGCCAGGCCTGTTTCAGGTAAGCTTTGATTTAAGTGCGCGCGCATTTCATGAAACCTGGGGCATGCTGGTTTAAATCGGGTTGGCAGTCAAGCCCAACTGTAGCTGGGAATGGTTTTCGCCAAGCCTGGTTTCCAGTACGCACGCATTTCGTTAAGCCTTGTGGTTTAGTTGAGCCAGGTTTTTAAACTAAGTCTGGTTCTTGAGGTAAGCCTGGAATATCAATCAAGCCTGGTTGGAAGTAGGGGCATACATGTCGTTCGGCTTTGTTTTCGGCGCGCGCGCATTCAGTAAAGCCTTGTGTCTTGGTCGCCTGGGAGATTTGTTAAAACCTGGTGGTTTAAGTAGCCTGGTTGTCGTTACGCCTGTTTGTACTTAGGCGTGGTGTTAACTAAGCCTGACTTCCAGCATCTTCAGGTACACGCGCATGTTCTTAAGCGGGATGTTTTAGTTCAGGCTCGTGTTTTGGTTGAGCCTGGAATTTGAATTGGGCCAGGTTGTTCTCGCTCAGCCTGGATGTAGTAGATAGGCGTAATTTTCGTTCGGTCACGTGTTCGGAACGCGAGCACTTGATTAAGCCTGGAATGTTAACTAAACGTGGTAGTCCTAGGTCGGCCTGGGATTTTAGCTAGGCCTGGTGCTTTCAATTAGACCTGGCGCTTGGATTAGGCCTGGTTGTGAGGCGTGGTTCTAGGCGCCCGCGCATTTAGTTAAGCCTTGTGTTTTAGATGAGCTTGGGGGTTTAGTAAAGCCTGGTGTTCGCCAGGCCTGGCTCAGGAAGGCACGGTTGTCATTAAGCGTGGTTTTACTCCGGCCCAGTTTTACGCGCGAGCGCATTTAGGTAAGCCCGGTGTTTTAGTCGAGCGTGGTGATATATTACAACCTGGTAGTTGATTGAAGCCTGGTTTTTACTTGAGTCTTGTTGCATGTAGGCCAGGTGTTTTAATCGAGTCTGGTCTCTTAATTAAACCTGGTGGTTTAATTGAGACTGGTGCTTCCGTTGGGCCTGGTTTCAATCAGACTTGATCTTGAAAGCGCGCATTCAGTCAAATCTAGTGTCGGCCTGGTGGCTTTGATCGGCCTGGTTCCAGGCGCATTAGTTAAACGTGGAATGCGTTGTTAAGCCTGGAGCTTATTTGAGCCCTGTGGTTAAGTCAAGTCTGGGATGTTGGCGACGTAACCTCGCTGGAAAATGCAGGCGCGGCGTTAGTCAGGCTTAGTTTCAAGCGCACGAGCACTGTAATTTTGCAATGGAGCCTGGTGTTTGGAGTTAGCCTGGTGTCATACCTGAGGCGGTGGCTTTTGTCAAGCCTGGTGACAGGTACGCATGCCTTTCATTAAGGCTGGAGTTTGAACTCGCCCCCGCGTTTAGCTGAGCCCGTTGTTTAGTTGAACCTGGACGTAGGTAGGTATGGTTTTCGTTCGGCCAAGCTTTCGGCGCGCGCGCATTTACTTCATCCTGGAGTTGAAGCGAGGTCTTTAAGTACACGCGCATCTGATTGAGCCTGGCACCTGGTGCTTTATTTTGGCCCGGTGGTTTCGTTGGGCCCGGTGATGCAGTTGAGCTTGGTTGTAGCTGTTCCAAGCTTTAGTTGGGCGTGATTCCATCCACGCGCGTGTTTATTCAAGGCTGTGTTCTAGTAGAGCCTGGTGTTCTAGTTCAGTCGGGCGTTTTAATTAAGCCTGCATTTTCAAAGGCGCCCCACTATAGCTAGGCCTGGCTTTCGGCACGCGCGTGAACTTAGGCCTGGGGCTTTATTTGAGCCTCGTGTTTTTGTTTGGTATGCCTGGTGGCAGGAATTTTGATTGTGCCGAGTTGTAGTTCGGCGCGGCTTCATTCAGCGTGGGTTTAGGCGCGCGCATTTAGTTTAGCCTGCGCTTTTTATATATAGAAACACCCTGGATATTTAGTTTAGATAAGCCTGGTTGTCGTTAGGGCAGGTTGCTCTTAGGCGCGGTCATAGGTGGGCCAGGCTTCAAATGAGCGCGCATTCCAGTGTTCCGGCAACGAGCGTCGCAGCAAACGCCATGAGAGCGCTTCCGGATACACCTAGTTACACCCAGTTACACCCAGTTACACCTAGTTACACCTAGTTACACCTAGTTACACCTAGTTACGCCCAGTTACACCTAGTTACACCTAGTTACACCTAGTTACACCTAGTTACGCCCAGTTACACCTAGTTACACCTAGTTACACCTAGTTACACCTAGTTACCCTCAGTTTCCCTCAGCTACCCGAGTTAAGGCATGACGCAATCAGTCTGAATCGGAGTGCAGGCATTCGAACCTGGAACCTCGGTCCTCGATCCTCGCCTCGGTCATCGATCCTATCCTCGGTCCTCGATCCTGGCTTCATTTTTCAAGACAACCTCGCCGACACATCGGCGATACATCGGCGATACATCGCCGATGCATCGGCGACATCGGCGATGCATCGACGACGCCAGCGCGGAGAAAATCGAGCTCCACATCGGGCCGCATCGCCGATGCATCGACGATGCGGCGCGATCCTCCAACCCCATCTGCTCGGACCCAGGGGGGCCAGGAAGAGGGGGTGGTGCGCATTGGGGCCAAAAGCATGGGGCGCGGACGAGCGGGGGCCTTGGAGCGTGTTGAACAAAGAAGCAGAAGAAGAAAAACAAAAAGGTTAATAATAATAATGTCAATAATAATGATAAGAGTGATAAGAATGATACGAATTATACGAACATAATGATTATACTCATACTCTGATGATCATAGACATCACAACTACTGATAATACGTATAGAAAATACATATGGTACGAATAGGAATGCGAATACGAATGCGAGTACAAATGCGAATGCGAAGAGCAATCATGATAACAAGAAAACAATACCAAATACAACATAACAAGAAACAATAGTAACCATCAGTGTTATGACGAAGAGGGCGAATAATACGAATAAGAAAAGAAAATAATAATAATAATGTAAATATAGGAAAATCAGAATAAGAAGAAGAAGAAGAAGAAGAGGAAGAGGAATAAGGAGAAGACGAAAAAGAAGAAGAGGAAGAGGAGGAGGAGGAAGAAGAAGAAGAAGAAAAAGTCACAGTCCTGACCCCCTGTCGGGCGCCTGGTGTTTTCAGGACGCCACACCCGGTCTCCGGCGGCCTCTCAAGGGACGATCCAGGCACACTTGGGGGGCCGCTCCTGGCGAGGCGCGGCTGCGGCTGAGCATCCGGAGGCTGGCAAAACCCCAGTGAACCCACGAAAACGCCAGCAAAGAACCTCCCTGGACGAGGCCCTACACCTTGCGAGTGATGGGAAACGCAATTTTCCTTCAAAAACCGCACTCAATGAGCCACAATAGCGTTTCCCATAACTCTAAGCTATGGGAACCGCAATCCCGGACGACTGCCGCCCTGTAGTCCCTCTCTGGCGCCCCCGATGATGCCTCGATTGCGCCTGGAAATCTGGGCCCCTCCCGTTTCTGTCGGCCCCTCGGACCCCTCATGTGGGCGGTCTCGGAGACCTTGAACCCAAAATTGTTTTCATCTCTTGGGGGGACATCTTCTACTTCCGACGACCTTCCGCCGCCCTTCCGCTGCCTTCCGCCGAAGAAGATATGACAACTCCTTCGACCCTTGAAGGCAAGGCCCTTTCTGATACGCCCAATGTGGCGTTTGCAGCCTGCCGGATAGTTCTCTGGAAAACCTGGCCTCGTGGCGACAAGGACGCGCTGGCAGTCCCAGCCAAGGCCCAAAACCGCCAAGAAGCCTACGGCCAGGGACTTTTGCTGAGCGTGTCGCAGCGGCGCCCCTGGCGGCACGCTATGCCTTGGCGAGCTGATAGCGTGTCGCTCCGCTCCGCGGGGCGGGAGGCTGGCAGGAACTCGAGGAGATGACGCTGTGCGCTGTGGAACCGGATCGTGCTTGGCATGCGGCGCCGCAGCGTGGTGAGCCAGAACCGGCGGCGCCACACGCCTCCTCCTCGTCCTCCTCCTCCTCCTCCTCCTCCTCCTCCTCCTCCTCCTCATCCCCCTCACCATCACCACCACCACCATCCTCCTCCTCCTCCTCTTCCTCCTCTTCCTCTTCCTCGTTGTCCTCGACCCATCATGTTGTTCACCCCCGCTGTCCGTCACAATCATATTCATCGCCTCATCGTCATACGCATCGCCATCATCATCAGCATCATCATCATCAGCATCATCATCATCAGCATCATCATCATCATCACCGTCATCATCATCATCATCATCATGAGGTCGCGACCCCGGAAAGCCTGACGCCCCGCAGCACGAGGGGAGGAGGAGGAGCAACAACAACAGGAACAGGACACGGATAAGGGAGGGGGGAGGAAGGAACATGAGGGAGGCAGAGCAGCGAGGAAGGATGGCGGAAGAAGATGGGAAAGGAGGGGGCGAAGGGAGGTGTTGACACAGGGGCGCCGCTGTCCCCCGCAGTTTTCCCTCAGTTTCGTCTCAGTTTCTTGCGTCAGAAAGAGGTTGCAGTTGTAGGGTACCAAGCCGCCAACGCAGTGCCAGGAAAGCTAAATGCAACCGAGAGGAAACTGAGCGCAACTGACGGAAACTGAAAGGAGGGGGCGAAGGGAGGTGTCGACAACGGGGCGC